GTGTCGTCCCCGCCCCCCCCCAACGCCAGGTAAACATGCAATCCGGAGACTGATGAACAGATGGGGATATGTTAGCTATGATCAGCCTATTTTAATTCCTGGCTGTATTTCTTCACAAGGTTCTGCTTCTGAGCTGAGAAAGTGGTATGGCATTGCACCAGCAGATCTTCATAATCTGTATTGGTTGAAAAAGGAGTTGAAACACAATTTCAGCCCTATTTCATGAGTATAAGTTGAAGTGTCAGCCCAGATGGTAAGATTGTTGTCACAGTGGCTGGTGGGGATCTTAAGGAGAAAAAGAAAATGAACTGCAGAGGGTAATGCCAGAAATGTGGCATGAGCAAATAAAAGGTATCCTACTGCCTTTCAGTTTAACCATCAAGGTTTAAAGCAGATAATTGTTCTGAAGAGATTGGTTTGTATAAACTACATGCTTCCAAATCAATAGAGGTATTTTCTCCTGGGCTGGCCAATATATTAACTGACTTTGTGGCTCTAGGTGCATCGTTGCAGTGAATGCAGATGGCCCCTCTAAGGAGTAAATGCATGTTCACTGGGACATGGGAATGCCTTTGGGCACCATGGACAGGGCAGGGCTTGTAGGCAAAAGTACTATGTTGAGAAAAAATAGCCAAACTTTTGGTCATCAAACCTTTCTTTATGTTAGAAACAAAAGCTAAATACAAATGGGAAAATTTGTCAATGTCAAATGACAAAGCTAAATGTAAAAGTTAAATACAAGCTGGGAAAAAAATGTTTGGAGTCTAGGGAAGAGAGTATCTTACTGATATTCTCACAAAAGATAAGGTGTTATTTGTGGAGTGCAGGGGACATAAAGGTAGCTTATAGCCTGTGGATGTTGAGAGGGTAAGAAATTGTAGTATCATATAAAATTTCTGAGTCTACTTTTCCCCAGCAGAATTATGAATTATGGTTCCCAGATCTGGGACCACACTTGTTAGAATATAGTATATTTTATACAGGATTTTCTGCCTTCAATTGGATGTTTTTAGGTCTGCAATGAAAAGACTGAAAATCACAGCTGCAAGGACAGACATGGGTACAAAGATACAATGGAAATATACCTGAGACTGGGTGGAGAGCAGAAAAGCAGAGAGTATTATTTAGATGTTTTGTGCTTTAATAACTTAGATGGTTTTTGCTTTAGAGTGATGAGCATGGCATGAACTGGATAAAACAGATTGAGAAAGGCATTACAGTCTCTGGTGTTAGTTCTGTAAAGAGGCCAAAGGATCAAGTACATGCCAAATATTAAAATTGCTAAGTTTTATTCAGAGAAATGATTGTCCCAGAAGCTTTCTGTGTTTAATATTCTATGAGGTGAAACAACTTTTATTTTTTATTGATCAGCAAATGTCATCTTTGCTTCTAGCCAGCATGAAAGAACCGACAGCCAAGATTTGTGTATCTAGCGAAGGAATTGAACATTTTCAGTGTATTCAACTCAATTACACAGAAAAGTTTGAAAGACAACCTGCAGTCAGTAATCAAAGAGTAAGATTTTTTTTTTTTTTTAAGTAGTTGTTTTCTTCACTTATATTAGTTTGGGAAGAAGAAGGTGGGGAATAGGGAAGTGATAGTTAAAAGTACGGAGTAAAAATTTCCCCCCTGCTGAAATTAGTAAAAAGGGACCTGAAAAAGAAAATATAGTAGTTTTATACTTCCTTCAGATGTTTAATGAAAGAGGGATTTGAGCCCTGTGTTTTGGGAGACTGAGAACAAAGCTATGGGAAGATTAGCCCGTTTCTTTTCTATAGCTTCATCTCTCTCTCTGTTCTCAAATGGATGCTTAGAGCCAGGGTTGCACAAGCCAGAAATACCTGATCTGTCACTGGATTATCTGGGACAGAGGATGGTGTAGTAGCGGACAACCTTCCTTCATTGTGGGCTAAAATTTTAATTATTTCATATTGGCTGCAAGCTATAGGTGTGCATATACATAATAATGAAATTGACACTCGATATCTTATTCCTGTCTCCAAGTATGGAATTTTTGTGTCCTTTTTAAGTGCGCTTTTAAAGTAACTGTGTTAGCAGTTACTAATCTATATAAATTCTCCTCTGTTAAACCTGGTCCTGTTAGGATTGTATATATCTATCTTTGTATTAAGTCCTTGAAGTGAACTTTTCTTCTCTTTTATTTTAGTGGCAGTTCCATTATATTGGATTCCCGGTAGAACTGGAAAGAAATTATTTCATCCATGCTTACAGCATACCCCCAGCAAATATAAAAGAGGATTTTCTATCAAAATCCTTTTTGCTAACTACACCAGGTAATTTATCAAGCATTTTTTGCTAAATGATACTACTATTTTTTTAATCCATGTGATTGCACAGATTTCCTTAATAAGGCTAGAAATAGCTTCTGTTTTCAGTGTGTTTTGAAATCTGCCTAGCACCCTATAGACACACAGTCATCAAAGCTGAGAACTCAGCATCCAGCTCTTCAGCAGTGGTTTGTGGGTTCCCCCCCCCCCCCTTGTTTTGTTTTTTTCCTTGACATTTATCTTTTAGCAACAGAGGAATAGATACTGTTTTTCAAAGGAAAAAATACTTCTGCTGCTGTCAGTTTTAAAAGAATGTATGCTTTTAGCTATACAGTTTTTCAATGTAATTCTTATTAAACAAACTTCTTCATACTTTTACACAAAGGTATCTGATTTTTTCTAGGAAAAAGTAAGAGGCACAGAGTCAACCTCTCCATACCAATTTAGAATACTGCTCAAATTTTGTTTACATAGTTTCTAGAAATAAGGACATTTTTAAAAGAGCTATGGTGTCTTTTTGTTAAACAGATTCATTTAGGAGGCAGTTCTTCCATCAGGTGCAGCTCTAGGTGTTAAGAGTACTGGTTATATATCGAGAAGTATTGTGTTTTCATTGCACTGTCCTTTTTTTTCTGAACTCCTGCATAAGGGCTGTCAGACTAATGTTATTCTAACACGTGGGAGAAAAGGAGAATTGCTGAAAAAGATCTTCTAAAATGGCTTGCTGCTCAAAAAGCAGCAGTAGATAGGGTGATGTTTTTTGTAAAAGCCTGAGAAACCACAGTAACATGGAAAATACGTTCACTCTTGCAGCAGACCCCTTCTGCAATGACATGACAAATCGGTCTTCTGTACAAAAATACATGGTGGTTTCTTTTAGTGAAGTGAGTTCATAAGATACTTTACCAAGTGCTCTGAACTTCTGTCCAGAATGCTGTCTTATGAAGGACATTGAGAACTTCTGCAGAGACCTTTCTGTTTCATGCAATGAGGTGCATGGCAAGAAATAGGAAATTAACAAGTGTCTGGGTATTGAGCTCTAGTCTTATGTAATTGAAGATAAAAGTATCAGTAACTGAACAAACAGTAAGGGACTGTAGCTACTGGGCCATACTTACTTGAAATAAGTCCTGAACAAAACATTTCTAAGTTGTGGCAAACTAAGGATTGACTTCCACAATAAGAAATGAAATGATAAGAAATTTGTGCTCAAAGGACTATTAGTCAGAAGTATTTGGTTGTGTAAATACCAGAACACAGTCCATCAAGTAATTTAGAAGTACTGCTCTCTGTGTAGAGTTTGTGAAGGTCACTGATGGTAGCCTCCGGTGCAGTTAAGCAGCACAGGTTTTCCAACATGATTTAAAGGTTGGGTTTGTGATTCTGTTAGATATGCTGTTGTAAGAATAATGTAGCTTTTAAAGTGGAGTAATTTACCTCACCCTTCAGTGTATCCAAGTGTCAGCTACCCACTGAGGTGAAGTTGCAAAATGTTTGCTGTGGAGAACCACTTGTCTATCAACACATCTAAACAATCTTGGTACATATATACTTTCTCTTCTGTATCAAAATCGTATGCCTTAAAAAAACTCAACCATTTCTTCTATAACAGGAATTCTGGACCCTCTTCTAGAAGGGAATGCTCCCTTCTTCCCCCAAAAGAACAAACCCAGCAATGACATCTAATCTTGCCAGAGTAAAATTTGAAGTATTGTATGCTACATTCAATAAAAGGGAGCCCAAAGGTCCTAGTCTTAAATAAAATACAAGAATGTAATTACAGCATGCTGTAAAATATTTCAGATAAGATTACAGTATAATTTGAGTGGAAATATCCTTTCTCTTTAGAACGTTACATGAAAGCAGATTAAGAGGAAGTCAGTTCTTTCTGACGTGCTCTGTAGAAATGACACTCATTGGTCTTTGATATTTATTATATTGTTAGAAGTGATTTAATAATGTTAATCTAGATTATAATTGCCGATATGGATTTGAGGTGTGATTCGTTACAGAAGAAACAACAAATAGCACTTCTGTAACTAAGGATTATTTGTTGGGAGAAAATGCCCATGTGCCTGTACTACAGGATTGAGGTTGGTGCTGCTTATATAAAAATGCATCTAGTTCTTTTGAGTGTATTATATTGGAATTTGTAAGTAGGGAAAAAAGTTGATAACTACCATAAAGAATATCTGGATAATGAAAAGCTAGCAAGAGCTTTTGATGATAACAGGCAAGCAAAAATACTCCACTTTCAAATTCTTAAGTCTTTCCACTGAGTAATATAATTTATTATGTAAGCAAAATACCAACAGCAACTGTAGTTTGGGTTCTCCATTTAACTTTTTCCATGATGATTGCTTCTATAACAATTCCCATCTACTGGTAACATTAGAGTATGAATCAGAGTAAGGCATTAAACCCACAGTCTGCACTCTTCAGCTATTGCTTCTGTGTACAGGTATCTGGAATGAATCTTGGCTTAACATCTGCCACATCAATATTTTATACCTCAAATTCCCCACACTGTGCAATTTTAATATATAACCTATAGAATGTAAATGTAGTGAACTTGGATATGACTGTGATACTCTGTACACAGAATTCAATGAATACAATTCAAAAGATGAAGTATAGCAATGCTGGAGCATTTTGCACCACTTTTCGAAAAATCTCAGTTGAAGTTAGTTTTAATAAAATACAAAAATATCTATCAGCAGAAGATCAATACATCTGCACTGGGAGAAGGGCGTATTTGGGGGAAGGAATCCTCAATTAATCACGTTCCACAGTAAACATATCCATTACCATACAAATGCAGCTCGCTCTCGTAACATTCTGACACCAAAACGCTGCCATTCTCGCTGATATATCCATAGCTCCTGAGTTGTATCAAGACAGGCTAAAACTGCACCTCCTTTCCATGCAATTAAGCGGGGATCCATATCCTAAATGCAAAACACAGGTTGTACACAATCACTGGTGTAAATTTGCATAATTTTGAAAACTTGTATCCTAATTTTTCCAACAGTATTCATCACTTAAAATCTCAGGGACGAGAAAATAATTTTTTCAAAATTATTCAGGAAAAAATAGTGAGATAAAAGTATGGAAAGAATATTTAAGGTGTTTAGAGAAGTGTGGGTTTGTTTTTTTTTTAAGATACCTTCGAGGCATGTCATGGAAATCCTGCCCTCAGCAATGGAGGCTCTGAAAAATCCTCAAGTTCTGATTTTACAAATTTTGCCTGATTAATGTCAAATGAAAATTGCTGTTTCAATGCCATGCTTTCTTTTATCTTAATAGTAATAAAAAACACTAACACAATTTCTTGCTGAGCAGACAGGTTAACTTCATGGGCCAGTACTAACTGCTTCTTTAAGAATATTGCCTTTAGCTAATAAACACTTCAGTGATCAATACTAGTAACACTCTTGCTATACCTCTAACTTCCTGCCTATAACTGGAGAGTGCTATGTTATGAGCTGAAAGCTCTCCTAAATCTCCTCAGATATGCAACTGAAAATAGATCTTTTTAATCTTTTGAAGATTTCAACCAATTGTAGTTTATTAACCATTTAGCTGTCAGTTAACAGTATACCTTAGGTCTTGTGATAACTTCAACGTTTTCAACGACTCTTCTAAAAGAAGGTGGCATTTTGTTGAGAATTCGGTGTTGAAGAAACTCTTGAGCTTTATGGAACATAAGGCCACCTCCCACTACTAAGATGGAGCTGTACATCTTCTTTTTTGTATCATCAGATGCTGGAATAAATGGATATATAGAAATAGATCAGATTTTTTGAAGTTAATATGGCCTGTATTCATACTATAAAAAGTTTAGTGCAAGTCAAACCAGATAGTAAGTGTTTGCTTTTAAAGTTCTTTTTCTATTCCTTGGAGATTCAAAACGTCTAGCTCAAGAAACATCAACAAAGATGCAAGTATAAGGAACAGTGTAGCTACTCTAGATACGATAAAACTTAGGGACATACATCTGACTTTAGTGAAATATAGGAGTTCACATAAAACCACACTGACATGCATAATTTTACAGAATTGTACAAATGTAATTCTTACCGCAGCAGTCAATACTATGAAGAATGGCTTTGTCAAGGCCCAAGGCTTTGCCTTCAAACTGAGAAATAGCTGTTTTCCTGGACATGTGTGCAGTTAAAGGTTCCTCTGAATCATTTCCAGATATCATACAATCACTCTGGGAAGATCCCAGTTCTACTTCTTGTGGGTAGATCCTCTCTGAAATGTCTGAGGCTTGGCCTCTCAGGTCTCCCTCAAACGCACCAGGTTTCGACATAGATTTTCTATCAGCTGTAGCTTTTGCAGACTTAAAAATGAGAAAACAACTTGAACTATGAAAAAATGCAAAAACATCTTCTGCAGGTTACAGACCAATACAAAAACTTAACTAAACACCACTGTACTTCCTTCACCTTTTTGCACAGAAAGGTTAGGCATTGCAGTATTACCTCATATAATTTTCATTTTAATCTCTACTTTCAAAGTAAGGGTTTATTTTGAACTCCATTAGATTTATCAATGCAATAATATGAAGCCCTCTTAGACTCTGAAAATACACAGTTCTAATTAAAGACTTGTCTAGACATCCGTAATTCCTTAGCCTAAATTTATTCTTTAATGCTTCTAACCCAGGTAAAAAAACTTTGGTTTCTGAGATGAACTAATGAGTCCTGATTTTATTCCCCAATTAAATAATACTTAATGAAAAATAAAACTAGTATTCACACACCTGCTCCTGCTTACTTTGTGTGGCTAGCAGGTAATGCTCATCATGAGGATCCTCAGGGTCACCTTGTGACCTGTGTTGCAAAGTTGTCATTTTTTGTCCAACGATTCCAAAAGTTGCTGGATAAAACAGAGCCATTGGAGCCTGAAGAATGAGAGATTTGGCATAGTTTAACTATATAGTTTTTATCTTTTTTTGGCATTTACTATAGAAAAAAAGGAAAACCTTGTTCTATTTTTCTCACAATTCAAAATTAAATATATTTTTTTTCAAAATAGTTTTGTGAAAGGCAAAAGTGTTTTCAGCTTTGTGTAATTTAAAAAAAAAACAACATAAAAAATACACTTTTACACGTAGGTAAGTTTCTTTACAGATTCTGGCACTGTATGATAAATAAGTCCTCAACTGCAGGTTGTTTTGAAATTAGAAAATACAACGGTGACCTGAAAAACTTGCAAAATTAGCATTCATTCCTTGCACTTGAAGGATAAGTATAATATTTAGTTGAATCTACAACCATTCTGGCTAAAGCAAGTTAGGAAGTCTTGTGCAGCCACTAGTGCTGCATTAGGCCCATTCATACATATAGTAATTTTAAAACTATCAACAAGCATACATTAAGAACAATCCAGAAATCACGTGGGCTTAATAGCACTGGGCCAATATAAAGTGAGGTGCTGAGCCTGAATGCTGACTATAATTCTTATAATTTTTTTAAAAAATCACCTGTAATTTTTCATCCCCTAATCGGAACTGGTATAATAAAGCTGGAGAATCCGGATGCCGAATTTGGAACTCATGATCTTGCAATCCAGAAATATCCTAGGGTCAAAACCAATATAAACAAAAATTTATATCTTTCTATCAAGCCGCATAATCTATTTAACCTGTACAAAACAACAAAAAGTAACAAACCTCTTAAGACTATGAATTTCATTTACCTATTTTTGAATTCTCTTTAAAGTCTTTTCCCTGTAGCATGATCTGCCAAAACAGCTTTCTACATGCCCAAGCCTCTAAAATAAGGGTTTGTACAGAAAGAAGAGACCCGCTGGCTGATCTTACAAAACTGGAGTTGAAAAACAGCAAATATGCAGCTACTCTCGGCTTCTTTCAGTAATAAGAACAAAGAAAGTACCTTTCTTAGAGTTGGGATTCCTTTTGACTAGAAGAATAAAACAAATTACAAATACTTCAAGTCTAAAGCTTCTCCAGCTTTTGCCAGTGTTTGACTAAGTATTACATTTTATTCTATTTACAAGCAATTGTAGACTCACAAAAAGATTCCCCAGGGTAGCATTCTGTAAAGGAAAAAAAAAACCTACTTGGAGAATGCACTATTTTCCCTTCTCACCTGGTCTAGATGACAAAATGTCTCCTTTAGGTGCTGAAGGAGCAGGCAATCCAACTTATTAGTTAACTGACAGTCTCTATATGGGAATCCGGCTCGTTGCATAAGCCAATAAAAACACCGTGACACATCAGATCCTCCATATGCAAGGCACAGCCTAAAGCACAGAGAAGAAAAAGATTATTTTATTTATTTGCTGAAATACTGGCCTTCTACAGTAGTATGCATAGGAATACAAGGAACATTTTAGACATGCTATGATCATGACTTCCACATAGTTTGCAGAGCACAGTACCAGTTTTGCCTGTTTTCTTCTTTTAAAGATGTCAGAATTCTTTAAGGTTCACATTGTAACATGACCCTGTTATAAGGCTCACAGTAAAAAAAGCCCTCTCTTTATAGATTTTTTTTAATAATTTTTTAAGTCAGGTCTTTGGTAAGGAACTAAGTACAGGCTTATAATAATTCTGCATATCAAAAGTGTGCTGGTTTTGGCTGAGATACAGTTAATTTTCTTCATAGTAGCTGGTATGGGCTATATTTTGGATTTGTGCTGGAAACAGTGTTGGTAATACAGGGATGTTTTTGTTATTGCTGAGCAGTGCTTACACAGAGTCAAGGCTTTTTCTGCTCCTCACCCCCCGCCCCAGTGAGTAGGCTGGGGGTGCACAAGAAGTTGGGAGGGGACACAGCGGGAGAGCTGACCCAAATGACCAAAGGGATATTCCATATGAAGTCATGCTTAGCGTATAAAGCTGGGGGAAGAAGGCAGGGGGGACATTCCGAGTAATGGTGTTTGTCTTCCCAAGTAACTCTTAATGCTTGATGGAGCCCTGCTTTCCTGGAGATTGTTGCCGATAGGAAATAGTGAATGAATTCCTTGTTTTGTTTTACTTGGGCACACAGCTTTTGCTTTACCTATTAAACCGTCCTTATCTTAACCCATGAGTTTTCTCACTTTTACGCTTCTTGGTTCTCTCCCCCATCCCAGCGGGGGAATCAGTGAGCAGCTGTGTGGTGCTTAGTGCTGGCTAGGGTTAAACAACGACAAAAAAGATACCTGGTGTTGCGATGGGAAACACCATCTTCTACACAGCAAACACTTGTCTTCTGATCTCCCACATCTACTATACACGCGCTGCTTAAACCACTTCCAAAGGTAGCACAGACAGACTCCTGATGTACAACAATTCCTAGCAATATGAGAAAAAAATGTATCCAATTTATGCCAAGCTCCAGACCCATGTTGCTGACATTTAAGGGACATCTTAATGTCTTTTAAAATCAACTAGTAGCCTGACTCTGCACTGAAGTGTGTATATTTAGTGAACTTGGGGTGGGGGGAAAACACAAGTCAGATTTTTTTGTTGGGTAAGCCCTTACAGTCCTGTGAAAAGCTAAGAGCAAGATGGATGCCTATAGTCAAATGTTCTTATTTTTTTGCAAGATTAAAGGTACTGCCTCCAGACTTTACTGTTTTTTTTTAAACCAGTACTGCAGGGTCTTGGTTACCAGATGCACATAAGCATTTTCCTAATTTTTTTCTAGTTTTAATCAAATATCATTACCATTAGCATTTTAGATAGGCTGTTTAACTAGTTATAAAGCAAGGTCCAATTTCAATCTCTGCTTTCCTTTCAATCCATCTTTAACTCTGTAGAAGAGTACCTTCCTATTTGTATCACAAACCCATACTTAAAGCTGTGTAGTACTGGAGGTTTCAGTCTATCCTTCAAGCTAATGAAGGAAAAAAAAACCAAACAGCTCAATTGGGCTGTGCATTGCAGACAAAAACTACATAAAATTACTGTTTTAAAGGCAAATGTTTTTAGATAGATTAAAATAATTTAGTTATGCTGTATAATTAGTTCAGCTCTTCACCAAATTGTTATTTAGGAAATGGCCCTTTCAAGAGTTAATGATACATGAAAGTGAAAGTCAGAAAGTATCAGATGAATATGAAGCTTTGGGGTTTTTGTTTTAGTATTCTTCCTGTTCCTCTGAAGCTAACTCATTTCCACTGCAAATTCTTCTATCCTAGTGCCAGTACATTTTTACATAGTGTAATTAGGTACTGTTTACATTACTTCCAAGCAAAAACAGGAGGAATCAAGCAAAGTATGACTTAGAACCATTCTGTTCAAAAACTAAAATGGCCAATATGGCTTGTTCATTTTAACTTGATGAAACAAATCAAATATATATAGGCATGTGGACAAAAGATCTCGTGAGATCAGTCTCTCTTTTTGCAGTGTTTATTTACCACCTACTTAATTCTTTCAGATGAGAAGTCTCTTCTCTTTGTAAAATTAATGCCTTCTATTAGATATGCAAGAGGCTAAACAGGTTCACTATTTAAGAATAATATCCAAGCACATATTCTGCTGAGAGTAATACCTGGAAATGGCACTTTGTACTGATTAATTATCTGAACAACAGCAGTTTTAATCTCCAACATCTTATAATTAACTTACTGTTTGACTAGTCTCTATCATTTAACTTATTTTTCTTGTCCACTTTTTAAGCCTCTTTCCCGTTCATTCCTGGCATATCTAATACAAAAATAAATGACTTTGCAGCCCCAAAGGTGCTACTACTATGATGTATTTCAAATTAAGTACGGTTGGGTTACTGTGCCTTCCGTAATGACTTTCTGTGTTGTCTCTAAATGTGAAATCAGAGAGAGACGGCTAAGACTACAGCAGTATTTTTCCAGAAGACTAGCTAGAAACTTCAACTGTTTAACTGAAAGGAAACTGTATTGCTTTTTTTCATCAGAGGGATTTCCAGTCTAAAACCAAATATGCAGAAGCTACCAATTACTTGATTTTTTTCAAATGTTATTGCTTTTCTATATTTAGTGTATGCACTTAAGCCAACTCTGAAACCTCCTATTATGTCATCCTGTAGAGAGGACAGTAGCAGCATCTTACATCATATACTTTTTTTTTTTTTGAAGTCTAAGAATCTTAATGCTCTGTAGAGTTAACATTGTGCATTTTAAAAGTACTTAAAGAAATCAGACTGTCGATACTGTTATCTCAGCTGAAGTGAGAAACCCACAGTTGGAATATGTAAAAGCAAACCAAGAAACTTGTTTCAATGCTAGCCAACCATTTCATCCCATTAAAAGAGAAAACAGTTATGGGAATAGCAAAAGATGAAAGGTGCTAGTCCCAGCCAAACTGGGAATGATATGCAATACTGTGCCTTAAAGGAAAAAAAAAAATAAAAAAAAAATCTCTATGCTATTAATCATTAAATGCTTGCTTATGTATGGTTTTACCTGAGAAGCCCATCTTCATTAAGATCATATTTACCAGTTCTTTCACATGTTGTTTATTATAGATGTCTGGAATTAGTAAAATGCATCTGTAGTACTGAAGATAAGAACAGTAAATTAAAGCCAGCTCTCAAATTAAGTTTCACTTTGCATTCTTGAATACCTGATGCTAAGGAAGAAAGCATGATATAGAAGTTATTAAAAGGAGCAAAATTGTGGAAAGGGGGAAGGTTTTTAATAATTTGAATAATGAGTTCAGAAGAAGCACCAAGTTAAGAGTTTATAGACCACTAAAATGTTTAAAAGTCCATCATATATGAGAAAAACACCTGTTCTGCAAGGAGAAAAAATTTATGCAAGTATTAGGCACCCATTCCTCAGCTGCCTCCTTTTTAGTCAACAAAAAACAACCCCAGACTAAGACTGAAATTTCTACAATAGGATTTCCAAACCTCCTTGGTAGTTCTATTAACAATTTTTGCCTTAAAGACATGCACAACATTCCAAATGAAGTCTTAGGAACCATGCTCACCAGCAGCAGAAAAAAAATTAAGAAAACCACCAGTAAGGGGCTACCAATAACAGCAGGTTGTTTCTCTTTTATAGTAACATTTACAGAAGTGGATACAGCCCATATTAGTGTGTTCACAGCTCACCTTTAGGTCTTTCAGTGGTATTTCCAGATATTTTTGTATTGCATGTGACCATATAACTTCAAGGTCTGCTAATATGGCAGTGAGGGAGCCACCAGGTCCTGTGTGGAGATTCAACTGCCCTCTTCTAATAGGCCAATGTATGTTATAAGAATCTAGTGGATTAACGTACAGTGCCTGAAAAGAAGAGATTATGTTCTATGCATTGCTTTTCCCAAAAGATTAGAGTAACTAATACTAGAAAAATATTTCAGAAGCAGATACAAGATGACATACAGCAGCACTCAGACTGATGTGACAGCAATACAGTGGACAGGGCTTCATTATAAAGTGTTAAAGAAAAAAAATTAAATACGTGGTATAAACTGTTAGAATTTTCATATCCATGGATACAACAGTATGTTTTTCCATTATCACAAATTAGTAACTAAAATAATTTAAAGACTCTTTGAATATCACAAATACCTAATTACACATCACGGATTCCTCATACCAATCCTTTTATCGGTTTCTTGCCTTTTCTCTGAATTACACCATGTGGGTGAAGTTCTCACCTAGTCCCTGCAGAAACACTGATTTATAGCAGCAAAGGATCCAGGTTACTTGCTTGGCAAATGGGGGAAACTGGCTGGTTTTGCTGAATGATAATAATCATTCAGTTAGTCCATGGTAAAGCTTCTCATGTATCGCTTGACTAAATTATTTGCTTTTCAATACATACTAACATATAGCAAACTGCTGCTGATTACATAGCCATGTTAAAACTTAACACTAAGCCTCATTTCAGTGGGAAAATTAATCTTACCTCTTCTCCTACCAAAAATTCAGGATGATTTGATGTGTTTGTCCACTTGGCCCCAGAGCTGTGATCTAAAATAGCTGGCCGCATCTGTCTGTTGTATGACCTGGCCTGAAATGTATTCATAACAAATGCTGTTCATAAATATTTTACCATTCACTTTTTATGCATGGGGGAAAAAAAAAAAAAAAAAAAGAAACACACCCCCCCACCCCAGCCCTCAAAGAAGTGTTTTAAATCTTAATTTTCTCTGATCTTCAGAGTTGGGTCACACAATAGCACTATCCATATATGCTGCATTAAAAGATATCTATTCTTGTCCAGTAAAACTTAGCATCACACCAAACGACTATATGAATGAACAATCTAATAAAATCTTAAGAATGAGTTACCTGATCAGGTGACACTGGTATACGCCTTGCGCCATTTGACATCTTTTTGGACCATATTGCTTGGTCCACCATTTTAAGGCCATTTTGTCTCTGCTCAGTACTTTCAGGTTTCTAAACAAAATGCACAAATATGCCATGTAAATACTTTCTTTCCAACTACGTGTCTGCATACTGGTAATACTGAAGCTATTATTAAACCATGAAACCATTACTGTGGTGACAGACTGTAGAAAGGAGGGAGGTTTGTATCATGTAAAATGACCATATGCTTATTTTTAAAGAAACTTTTTTATGTTAGACTTCCCAACACCTATTTGTCCAAGTCAACTTGAATCTTTTAACTGATTGTAATGGCTGCTGGACTTCCTCTCCGGAGTGAGGAGCTCAGGATGTTATATATTTAACTACAGAAACATTAAGTAGGAGCAAGAATGTTCACATAAATTTCAATTATTTAAAGGTGAGATCTAATATTAATTTGCTTAATGATTTTTTGTACAGATTCAAATTATGAATTAGATCACTACATGTATTTTTCGAGCAGGTGGGACTAAAATTACTTGCTATGTTATCCAAGTTACAAACCAATTTGTAACCAGCGCATTCAGCAATGGAGCAGTCCAGTTCCAGTTCTACAGCTCTCATGCTCTAAACAGAAATACCGTGTGTGGTATCAGACCACAGAGCAGAGAAATCAATGCGTACAAACCCTCAACCTGGCCGTTTATTAGATTTAGTTCATTGTAAACAAATCAAATAAAACACAAACATAGACTGGTGCAAATCTACTGACTTCAGTAAAAAAAATGAAACGGGAAAAACCAAAGTTTGCTCCTGAGCCATCTTCTTCACTGGATAAACCCTAAGGCACGAGGAGCAGATAAGCGTTGCACAACAAAAAAAAAAACCAACAGCAATGCATCAATGCATAGTTACCCCCTCCCCACCCCCCCAATTTTTGCAAGTTGGGAGGAGGCGCGGCGGCGCGGCTCGGCTTACGTTGAGGCCGTCCCTGAGGAGCCAGCTGTCCCTGTAGGCCGCCTGCCCCTGCTGCTTGTGCCGCCGAGCGA